CGGGAGTCTCCCCGTCCCGGCTCGCGAGTCCCCCCCCCCCCCCTGCCCCCCCTCCGCTCTGGGTGGGCGGGGCTTTCTATGGAGCGCTTCGCTCACTCGATGTGGTCTCGCACTTTCTCTCTCTGTGCCGACCCGGCATTTCGCGGGGCGGGGAGGGGGGTCTCTCTCGGAGCCTGAGGCCGCGATACAGCAGCGGTGGAGAGCGCTCGTGGAGCGCTTGCGCTCTAGCCTGTCGTTGTCGCCAGGGCGGCGGGGGTGGGGGGAGGGGGGGCCGTCGCCAGGCCTGGGGCACGTCCCGGCGCACGTGTGCAGCTAGTGCTGCCGTACATAGTGGATTTCTCAAATGTTCATGTCCTCCAACATGTCAAATTCCGCCCTGATCCTACCCGACTGCCCACGCCCCGCGTTCGCGCGCGCCTTCGCCTATTGTGTAACCGCCGATCCATGGCGCGCGTAGCTATGACAGGGACCGAGGCCGCGGACCCGGTGGCGGACGGGGCTGGCGCGCAAGCGCCGGCCACCGTCGTACTGCCGGGGATGCGCAGCGGACCCTGGAATCGCTCCGATCGCGCGCAACTGGAGGACGCGGTGGGTGTCGCACGGTTGTTCGGTGCGTCGTGTGTCAGGCTGATAAGGCCTGGCTACGCGACCATCGAGGTCGACCTGAAGCACGAGAAGGCCGCGGGCGACCGCGAGTCGGTGAAGGTGGCGGAGCGCTCGTACATCGAGCGCACCGCGCCGAAGAAGAAGGAGCTCACTGATGAGCAGCTTGCGGCTCGAACCGCGTCACGCAAGGCCAAGAAGATCCGGCAGAAGGAGCGCCGGGCGAAGGAGGCTGGCGAGCGCGCCGCGAACGAGGCCGAGAACGCGGAGCGCCCGCGCGCGCAGCTGCGCGAGAACATCGAGTACGTGATGGCCGGGCTGCGGTCTGCAGCTGCGCAGGCGCGCAGCCAGGCCGGGTCCAATATAGGAGTCGAATACTCGCTGCCCCCGGAGAGGGACGACGGGTATCGACGCGGCCCCAGCAAGGTGTACGCCACAGTTCCCCAGGGGACCGTGGCGACGACGGTCGCCCCGGACTGGCTTGCGAACGAGCTGGCCGGGCGCGGCAAGATTGATGCGGCATGCCGCGACCGCATGGTCATGCACCTGATGACGGCCGCCGGCGCCTCGGCGCCGGCCGACGCCGTGTTCAGGTTCACGGCTGGCGAGGCAATGCAGACCGAGGACGACGACGAGGACGCCGACCGCTCCGAGGAGTATTCCGACGACGACGGGAGGGCGTCCGACTTGTAGCTGGCCTCACCCATATCTTACCCTCTGCCCCCCCCCTCCTGCTACCCCCCAGGCTAGATGGAGTAGTCACAGATAGCCCCACACAGCCCCTTACCCCGGGTACTACCCCTTCACCCTCGCCTCGCTGTGTTTCTGAACACGTAGACGACCACGCTGTGGGGGTTGTGTTATAGGAGTAGGAGTGGGGTGCAGGTTGCTCACCCACGGCACCGGGCCGGTGCTTGCACTTTGAATGCCGTGGGGCTCCTGCCCGTGTCCGGGCGTGGAGATGCGAGGGTCGCCCCCCCTTGCCCCACCACTTTGTGTGTGTGGAGACGTTTACCTTACCTTACCTTACCTTACCTTCGCCTATGGCTAGTTCCATTTCACTGTGGCACAGCTCGCGTTACAAAACCTTGATTTTGACCATTGCGCGAAAAAGGTACATCTCGGTGCCTTCCAGAGGCAGCTGCATCCCCGCCGAGTAGACGGTTGCACACAGCAGGTGGCGCGGTGTGCAACCGTCCACTCGGCGGGGTCGCAGCTGCCTCTGCGCGTCCTGGGGATGTACCTTTGTCGCGCGCCGGAGACGACTCGACGCCGCTGAGATCGGAGATCAAGCTCTGACAGGTCGCACGTCGCTCCTTTGACGCCGACGTGACTCACCCGTGCAGATCACATCAGGACACGGTCTCGACGCGCTCGGTACGACGCCTGCGACCCGTCTCGGGTCAGGTGGCACGACGCTCATCGCGCCTACCAGCGCTGCCGTGCAGGTTGCCACGACGAGGTCGAGCACGCTTCTATACGCTCGCCGAGCCTTCCTTTCCATCCCATTTGGCAGCCTGGGAACGGTGGCGGTCAGAGGCAAAGCATACGAGGGGTGGTGGAACCACATGTCACGGCTACTGCCGGCTCGACCCCACGATAGCCTCCGGAGGCTGACTTTGAGGCACAATCATCGGACGACGTCGGCGAGTTGAGTCGCTCTCGCGGTAGCCAGATGACCTCTCATACTAGTATCATCGGCCATGGCCGCAGGAAGCGCGGGGGAGGGCGCTGGGAGCAACACGGAGCTCCGTTGGACGTTTTCAAGATTAGCGTGTCAGAGTGAAATGGAACTAGCCTATCTCCATCTGGCATGTGGCATCTCGCGACTGCTCCGCGACCGGTCTTACTGATACTCTACTTTACGGCCGTCTCCTACCCGCATCTCCGCGGCGCTCTCCGCTCCCGACTCGCCCGTGGCCGTGCTACGACTCGCCGACGCCGTGGCCGCGCGGCGGCGCTTCGCCACCGGCATCGCAGCGTGGCGGGCGAGGACACCGCACGCACGCCGGGCGCGAGAGTGTTGTCCTCCCTTCCCCGCCCCTCCTCCAGCGGCGGCGGCGCTGCCGGCAGCAGTACTGGAGCTGCCGCCGCCGCAGCGTGGCTCGCCGCGGGCGTTGTCGTGGCCGCATAGCGCGCATACCCACGGCGCGGCACCCGCGAGGCAGAGGTCGCAGTCGCAGTCGAAGAAGAAGTGCCTGTGGGGAGCGGTGCACGGCGTCGCGAGCGATAGGAGGGAGTGGGAGGGCTCGGGATGGATGCCACCGCGGTCTCCCGGCTGCACTCGGCCACATCTCCGCTACATCTCAGGCCTGCGCAGCCTGGCGCGTCGCGTCGCCGCCGGCTGCCGAGGGTCGGTGTACGTGATTCGCAGCTCGTCGCCAGCAGGCACCTGCCCGAGGTGCAGCCGAGGTGCAGCCGAGGTGCAGCCGAGGTGCAGCCGAGGTGCAGCCGAGGTGCAGCCGAGGTGCAGCCGAGGTGCAGCCGAGGTGCAGCCGAGGTGCAGCCGAGGTGCAGCCGAGGTGCAGCCGAGGTGCAGCCGAGGTGCAGCCGAGGTGCAGCCGAGGTGCAGCCGAGGTGCAGCCGAGGTGCAGCCGAGGTGCAGCCGAGGTGCAGCCGAGGTGCAGCCGAGGTGCAGCCGAGGTGCAGCCGAGGTGCAGCCGAGGTGCAGCCGAGGTGCAGCCGAGGTGCAGCCGAGGTGCAGCCGAGGTGCAGCCGAGGTGCAGCCGAGGTGCAGCCGAGGTGCAGCCGAGGTGCAGCCGAGGTGCAGCCGAACCGAGAGCAGCAGCCGAGAACGAGCCGCGATCGAGCCGAGATCGAGCCGAGATCGAGCCGAGATCGAGCCGAGGTGTGGCCGCACCTCCGCAGTGGTGACCACGCGCAGGCAGCCGCTCGAGTCGATCTCCCACGCCGCGTTTGGCGAGCAGGAGTGGTTGAACATGGCGATCGATGCCTAGTAGCCAGCCATTGGTCAGAGCCGAGAGGAGCTCAGAGAGCAGGAGGAGTGGAGCACTGCAAGCCATGCCTAGTCGTCCACCCTCGATCATCACAGTCGCTAGTTGATGCAGCAGAGGGGAGCATGGCGGTCGCTGCCGAGACGCCGACGCCAACCTCACGCAGCGGATCGCCTGATGTGGCAGCGCAAGCGGACGCTTCTTTGGCCCGCCGTCGCCCGCTGTTCACAACCGTGCGGCCGAGGGCGGCGGCGGGGCGGGCGGCGGCGGCGAGGGTGGCGGCGACGGGGGCGGGGCTCGCGGACGGTCCTCGCGTACGGCCCTCGAGGAGGCGGAGAAGGAGGTAGTGGGGACGGTGGTGGGGGGGGTGGAGGAGGCGGTGATGATGGTGGGGGAGGAGGAGGAGGAGGCGGTGATGGAGGAGGCGGTGATGGAGGAGGCGGTGATGGAGGAGGCGGTGATGGATGGGGGGGGGGATGGTGGGGGAGGCGAGCAGGGGCCGTGCAGACGGTCCTCGACAAACTCCGCCGTGAAAAGACGCGACTGTCGTCCGGCGCGGCCGCACACCTCTGCCGCACCTCGGCCGCACCCTCGACTGCATCTCGGCGCTTGCATCTCGGCGCTTGCATCTCGGCGCTTGCACCTCGGCGGATCTCGGCTGCATCTCGGCTGTATCTCGGCTGGTGGGGCTACCCGGCTCGGCGGGCGCGTAGAGCGTGAGCGAGTTGCAATACGCGCGGCCGAGTAGATCGCTCGTCTCTGCGAGGCCTATGAACAGGGGCGGTGGACTTGTCATGGACGTGTCATGGACGATGAGGTGAGCACCGCTAGACTCGGCGAGGCCAAGCCGCGCGTGCGCCCCCAGAAAGAAGCGCGCCTGGAACTCGAGGGTCGTCAATGACCGCTGGTCCGTCCTCGACTGTCTGTGTGCGGCGTGACCTTGGGCCCGGGGTTGTCCTCTTGTGTGTGAACAGCTGCTGCGCCAGAGGACAGAAGGGTGTGTGAAAAGCTGCTGCGCCCCCGAGGGAGAGGCGCGCCTGCTGCGCCATCGCGAGGAAGTTGGAGGCGAGCTGCTCGGGCACCTGCGCGGCAGCAGGCCGTGGAGAGAGGAGAGGGAGAGCGGGCGCGCGAGCGGGAGTGGGAGAGAGGACGGAGGTGGCAGAAGGAGAGAGCGGCTCCTCTCATCCTGTCGTCGCGGGCAAATCTCGCGCAGATCTCGGGCAGATCTCGGAGGAGGCCGCGCCTCCTCCTCGGGCGGCGAGAAGAGGTCCATCACATCCTCCATCTCGTCGACACAGACGTCGGTGCCGTCGCCGGCGAGGTCCTCCGCCTACGCCGTGCATCCACCAAGGTCAGGGCCGGAGCACCGCCGAACACACGCTCGGAGAAGAGCCTCCGCCCGATCGGCGTACTGCGGCTCCTCGGGCAGCGCCGCGGAGCGCCAGCGCAGCAGCAGCAACCGCAGCAGCAGCCGCAGCGAGCGTGTGTCCTCTGGTGGCGCGATCCCGGCGGGAGGCGAGCGGAGGAGCGCGAGGGCCTGGCACTCGTCGTCGTGCACGAGGCGCGCAGCCGGTGAGGCGGCGCAGCGCCCGCACAGCCGGCTCGTCCGGCACTTGCCGCAGGGCGGCGTGGTTGTCGGCAGCGGAGAGAGGCAGACGCAGCAGTGGCTGCTCAAGGCCGTGTCGTTGCAGACCGCCGCTGCTGGCAACGCGCGAACCACCTCCGTGCCGGCCTTGAGGCGGCGCACGGCGAAGACGCCCCGCCCGGCACGGTCAGTGTCGCGCACCTCGATCATATCCGGCCGCACCGATGGGTGGTTGTTGGCGCCCCCCGCCAGAAAGAATTTTACAACAAAACTCCCTCGCACGACACTGGGCACAGGACTGGGCACGGGACTGGCTCGCACTGGCACTAACACAGGTGTAAGAAGAAAACATGGAATCAAAAAAATGATTAACGTTTTTTAATTAATACCTTGTTTTTTTTGGCAACGGCTACAGACTCTTACATATTACACAATTGAACAGGACTGTACAGAGAATACAGAGTCGGTGCTGCGCGCGTGACGCGGGGCGCCGGAGGTCCTCAGAATTGTCCGGCGTCGGCGCCGCTACCCTCAGGCCGACGCGCATATCTCGCTCACGCTTGCTTGCGCCGGCGCACAGCCCCCCCCCCGAAGGAACACACATCGTCTCCTCTCGCCGCGTGCCCGACCCGCGGGACGGCCACCCACAGCGAATGCACGCGGGCTCTCTCAGGTTAGGTGAGCGAGCGAGCTACAGGGTTGCCCAGTTCTTGTTCAGCAGCTTGTCAGCGATCTCACGTAGGCGAGCTTGGAGGCCGGGAAGCCGTGCTTGATGGATCGCCGCCTTTGCCGCCCTGCTTGCCGGCGGAAGCTGCTCGTCGAGTTGCCGACGGCTCGTCTTGTTGCCGACTGTCGAGAGGGCGAGGCGGTCGGACAACTCGCACTGCCCGGCAGTCCGGGCGTAGTACTGGTTGAGGTGGTACAGGTTGCCGTAAGCTGCCGCGCCAGACAAGACGGTATTGTTGACGCAGCTCGGGAAGCCAACTTCGACCGCCGTCGACAGGTCCTCGTCCGTGACGGACGCCAGATAATCGCCGCACTCATCGGTCCCGCAGGTGGCGGCTGTGTGCTCGGGCTGGTCGTCGGCGCAGGGGTTGTCGCAGTCCTCCTCCTCATCGCAGTTCTCGCAGTCACGCGGACACCAAGCCTCGAGCTCGGTGAACAAGCTGTAGGCGCCCATGCAGGTGGTGTAGTCGATGTCTGTCGAGAGGGCGAGGCGGTCGTACAACTCGCACTCTCGGGCGACAGACCGGTAGTACAGGTTGAGGTACGCCGTGCCCATGTTGCCGTAAGCTGCCGCGCCAGACAAGACGGTATTGTTGACGCAGCTCGGGAAGCCAACTTCGACCGCCGTCGACAGGTCCTCGTCCGTGACGGACGCCAGATAATCGCCGCACTCATCGGTCCCGCAGGTGGCGGCTGTGTGCTCGGGCTGGTCGTCGGCGCAGGGGTTGTCGCAGTCCTCCTCCTCATCGCAGTTCTCGCAGTCACGCGGACACCAAGCCTCGAGCTCGGTGAACAAGCTGTAGGCGCCCATGCAGGTGGTGTAGTCGATGTCTGTCGAGAGGGCGAGGCGGTCGTACAACTCGCACTCTCGGGCGACAGACCGGTAGTACAGGTTGAGGTACGCCGTGCCCATGTTGCCGTAAGCTGCCGCGCCAGACAAGACGGTATTGTTGACGCAGCTCGGGAAGCCAATTTCGACCGCCGTCGACAGGTCCTCGTCCGTGACGGACGCCAGATAATCGCCGCACTCATCGGTCCCGCAGGTGGCGGCTGTGTGCTCGGGCTGGTCGTCGGCGCAGGGGTTGTCGCAGTCCTCCTCCTCATCGCAGTTCTCGCAGTCACGCGGACACCAAGCCTCGAGCTCGGTGAACAAGCTGTAGGCGCCCATGCAGGTGGTGTAGTCGATGTCTGTCGAGAGGGCGAGGCGGTCGGACAACTCGCACTCTCGGGCGACAGACCGGTAGTACAGGTTGAGGTACGCCGTGCCCATGTTGCCGTAAGCTGCCGCGCCAGACAAGACGGTATTGTTGACGCAGCTCGGGAAGCCAATTTCGACCGCCGTCGACAGGTCCTCGTCCGTGACGGACGCCAGATAATCGCCGCACTCATCGGTCCCGCAGGTGGCGGCTGTGTGCTCGGGCTGGTCGTCGGCGCAGGGGCTGTCGCAGTCCTCCTCCTCATCGCAGTCCTCGCAGTCACGCGGAATTCGTAGGTGCATCTGAGCAAAATTGAGCCCGCTCAGGTGTGAACAAAAAGTATAAGGGTCGACCAGGTTTCGAACTGGGGGCCTCCCGCCAGCGGGGCGGCACTCGGCGAAGAAACCGTGGAAGGGAGAGGGGGCCAGCGGGCGACCTATATAGCATACCGGAGGAATTAGACACCACGGCGGCGAGGGAGGCGGCGAGGGAGGCGGGCTCGGCGGCGGCGGCGAGGGAGGCGGCGAGGGAGGCGGGCTCGGCGGCGGCGGCGAGGGAGGCGGAGAGGGAGGCGGAGAGGGCGGCGGCGGCGAGGGAGGCGGCGAGGGAGGCGGGCTCGGCGGCGGCGGCGAGGGAGGCGGCGAGGGAGGCGGAGAGGGCGGCGGCGGCGAGGGAGGCGGCGAGGGAGGCGGGCTCGGCGGCGGCGGTGAGGGAGGCGGCGAGGGAGGCGGAGAGGGCGGCGGCGGCGAGGGAGGCGGCGAGGGAGGCGGAGAGGGCGGCGGCGGCGAGGGAGGCGGCGAGGGAGGCGGGCTCGGCGGCGGCGGCGAGGGCGGAGGACAGCGCCGCCGCCGAGGGCGGCGCGGCGGCGGCAGCGACGACGACGGCGGCGGCGGCGGCTCCTCTCGAGGGAGGCGCAAAGCACCGCGCATCGCCTCAGACGACGAGGACGGCGCGCCGCCCGTCGCTTCGGCCCGCTCGAGCAGGGCCCGAGCCGTCAGCCGCGGCGAGGCGGCTGCTGAGCCGCCCGCGGCAGCGGCGGCTGACGCTGGCGGCAGCACGCACGCCAGGCGGACCCAGCGGCGCATCCGCGACGACTCCGACGAGGATGACGGGTGACTCACTCGCGCGGGAGGGGCGTTGCTGGAAAGTATTCTTTTTTTCGCCTTGGAAATCAGTCTCTGAGAAAAGAAATTCGCCACCCGCGTGATAAAAGGCGGGCACCCTCCTTGAGCTGACGTCCTGATCAGGAGCTCCTGCACTTGCAAGCGCGTCCTGATCAGGAGCTCGACAGAGGCGTCGAAGCCCCACCGTGAGCATCATCATGGCACTCTACAAGGCACTGTCAGCCCTCTTGCCGACTGTGGCCCTGGCGTCGTCCTCCAAGCTGCTCGGTAACCAGCTCTCGTACTGCGAGCCACGTGCTTGCGAGGATGAGATCGTGCCAGAGACCATCTACTGCCGGCTCACCTTTGACGTGGTCAACTTCACCGTGGCCGGGGTCGGCAACATCACGACTCGCGGATACCAGCGTAACGACACCGACCGCAGCGCAGCCACGCCGATGGGCCCAACGATAAACGTGTATCCCGGCGACAATCTCACAATCGAGCTGTTCAACAACCTAGACCAGCCGCTGCTCCGGCAAAGGGGCGTGCACAACTTCTACCATGACTTCGAATGGACCAACGTGCACACGCATGGGCTTCATGTCAGCGGCGAAGAGCCCGGAGACTCAGTCTTTGTTGAAGTCGGCCCGAAGTGTTCGAAAAACTACACCTACAGCATCCCCGAGGACCACATGCCGGGGACGTACTGGTACCACCCCCACAAACACGGGTCCACTGGCGCTCACGCTGGAGGAGGAGCAGTCGGCATGATCAAGATTCTCGACCCAAAGGGCACGCTCCCTGCATTCATTGAGTCGACAGACATCGTGCCGGAGCTCGACCTGGTGATACTGGGGCTTGCCGGCGTAATGAAGCAGGGCGCAAACAAAGGCGTCGAGGACAAGATGGCTAAGTGCTGCAAGGCCTACAACAACATCAGCTACAAAACCGCGTCGGAGGTTTTCGAAAGCAAGGCCTGCGATCAGTTTGGAATGGCTGGGATGATCGACCCCAAGCACTTCAACGAGGACAGAGAGTGTCTGAATGCCACCCTCAAGAAAATGAACGTCAAGGACTGCGAACGGGATCAGTTCATTGCCGATCAATGCGACCGGTCCAAGGTTTGGAGCGCGCCAATCGACTACACGGACGACGGCAAGAATGGGAACAACACCTTCCTCGTCAACGGTGATTACAACCCCACGCATTACGTTGCTGCGAACGCTTGGACGCGCCTTCGCATCGTGTACGCTTCGATCGATCAGCAGCTCTACTTTTCCTTGCCCGAAGGGTGCGACATGGAGCTGATGGCCAAGGACGGCGTTTACATTCGCGACATGCCCCGAAGGACCAGTTACGCGTACTTTGGTTCTGGCAACCGTGCTGACTTCCTCGTGCGCTGCGCGGGAGACACAGTCGACAAGATGCCATGCCCCGAAGACACAAACAGGACGTGCACGAAGTACCCCATCACGGCCTGGTTTTACAACGAAGCGGGGGAATCGGACAACAGCGTCTGCGAAGCGGTCAAAATGCTAGACCCTGGCTCGAGCGCGGCGAACATCTCTCAGACCATGTACGATGCCGCCAAAACCGCAAATGAAAATTTCCCACCCGTGCTCGTTGCACTTGGAACCATCATGGCCGTACATGAGACTGGCGTCGAGACGTGTGATCTGCCGAATATCAGCGTGACCTACCCTTGCTACCTGGCCGACCTGAGGGACGTGACTGACAGCCAGCTCGCCGCCCAAGCGGGTTTCAGCCCCGACCGTCACATTCATTTTGCCGGGAGTGGCGGCTCGCCGTTGCCATCGATTAACGGAGACTACTATGGCAACGGATACTTCCACACGGGCGACGAGCCAGACATAAAACCTCACCAAAACGACTCGAGGATGGCCGTGCTCCGGCACAGCAGGGCAGGAGGGGAAGATACAAACGTCTTCAGCATGCCTGTCGGCAGCCTGGTCAACTTCACCCTCCATGGCGTGCACTTCCACGCCTTCCACTGGCACGTGAACCCGTTTCAGCTGCAGACGTCGTACGATGAGTTCGGCCTCTTTAACAAGGATGGCCTCGAGACTCACGAGCGACCACGGGCTTTTGAGAAAGGGGACAAGGATGATCGCGCCTTTGAGCCCTATTTCAAGGCTGGTGACTGGCATGACGTTCTGATGGTACCTGCCAAGTGGTGTGCGCCCGTCGACAAGTACGACTGCACGGGGGATCCGGACCAAGGTGACATGCACAACCAAACCGGCGACAAGAACAACTCATTCGGCCAGTGCACTCCTGAGTACTGGGCGCAAACAAACCTTTCCTTCCCCGTCCGCACGAATCTCGACCGTTTCGTCAGTCGGCAGGTCGTCCACTGCCACGTCCTCGAGCACGAGGACCAGGGGATGATGACCCTGCTCGACATCCAAGAGTATAGCAAATGGAAGGAGGCGAATCCAATGGGCGGACCTCAGTCAGGCGACGAGAACAACCACAACAAGCTCGCGTACGGCCGTCAACTCGACCAGATGTGCTACGGACCAATGCCTGCAAACGCAAAGGAAATGGGCATATGGTCGAGCAAGGAAGGAATGTGCTGCGCACACGAGGATGACGACATCTGCGAGGCGGGACTGAGCTGCCAGTGTGGTACGGTGGACACGACGCCTTCCTTGCTCCCGCGGTCCGTTTCGAAGAGGAACTGCAAGTGTCGCCCATCGCCGCCGCCCTCGCCGCCCTCGCCACCGCCCTCGCCGCCCTCGCCACCCCCATCGCCGGAGCCAGTGTCCTGGCTGCGCCTCGCGGCACTCGCCCTCGTCGTGCTGCTGATGGCGGTCCTGATTGCGATCCTGCTGAAAGCCCTGACACGGGCGAGGCGATGCCCCCCTTCACCTGATGTCCCCAAGCAGAGCCTCCCCTGCGCTGAGTCCATTTAGACCGCTCCTCGAAACACCAAAGAGAGAAGCAGGTGAAGATGTAGATATGTGTGTGTGTGTTTAGTAGAGTGAAGCAGGTGTAGTTTGTGTGTGTTTTGTAGAGTGCACCATCACCTGTTTCCCGCGTGTGGGGAGCATTAAACCTTTGTTGTCTTTCTGTGTGTTCATTGCGCATTTTGCACATTAGGTTTTTCCCGTCTAGTAATTCGCAACGCAAATCCTCTGATGATAAATTTCTTTTTGCGCACACGCGCGAGGGAAAAAAATTCTTTTTGCCCGTGGACGAGGCCTCGCCGATCGCGGCGCAGCTCGCCCAGCGCGCCGTGGTCGGCTTCCTGTCGACTGCAGTCTCGGACTGCCTCACCAACGGGCTGCGCGTGCTCAAGACGTCGCGCCAGACGTCGCCGACCTCCCTCTCCTACTCCGCCGCCGCCGCCGCCGTCCTGGCCAAGGACGGTGTGGCCGGCTTGCTCGGGCGCGGACTGCGGACCAGACTGCTCATCACGGGCTGCAGAGCGCGCTCTTCGTGGTCGTGTGGAAGCTGATCGAGCAGCGGCTTGACGCCACGTGGCTCTCGAGAGGGGGCGGTGGGTAGAGGCGTGGGGTCTTGCACACTCAGACACGGCGGGGTGGCCCTCTCTACACATGCCTCTATTTCGTTCCAGCGCCAGTCTCCGCAGGGACCGCACCTGAGACCTGTGTTTGTGAGGGCGTGAGAGACTTCGCTTTCATAATTCTTCTTTTGTGTCGTCGCGTTTGGAGCCACCTACGTACCCGCCGGGTACCCCAAGCAGACCCCCTGTGTGAGCTGGGGAGCTAGCTGCGCGGGAGCGTAGAGCCGAGGCCCTAGCGTACAGGGTACAGCCGAGTTACGCCCGCGTCCCACGTCCGTACGGCTTTATCGTTTATGCGTAGGCGGTAGAGCTCTAACTGCGCCACACGCGTGTTCTCTTCTCGGAAGGTGCTTGTCGCAGTGGCCGGGCGGCGCGAGCGCTAGGACGGTGTTGGCAAAATTGGACCCTCCGTGGTAGAAGCAGCGCGAGAGGGTGAGCATCATCTGCGACGAAACTCGAAAGTGCCTCGTGACACACTCTGGGCAGGCGCCAGGCGGCGCGTGCGCGCGGCGGGGCGTCAGACTTGCGCATGCAGGGCGAGGGGCGAGCGTTACCAGGTCCAGAAAGATCTCAGCAACGTCGGAGCTGTTGAAGTCGTGCTTGAAGACAGGGTTGACCATGCACTCTGCGCAGCCTTGGGCGCGCACACGCGCTGTCACCGAGCGGGGGAGAAGGACGGACGCGTTTAGGCCGGCGCCACCGCCGAGCACAGCCGCCTTGAGAGGCGTGTTGTCCGTCGCGAGGAAGAGGGGCACCTGTGGGATATGTCCTGGACGAGTCATGCACAAGCACATGCTCGCGTGTGGTCCGCCGCGACAAGAGAAGATTTCGCCTTGCCCTCGCGGACAAGGCAATCCAGGATCCCAGTCGCGTCACCCACTGTCATGCGCACGTCCTTCTTGAGCAGCACAGGGGCCTTGGCAAACTGTTCCGCGAGCGGGCAGCGGGAGCTGAGGTGCGAAGGCGTGGGCGCCGACTCCATACAGCGCAGCGCAGCGGCGCGCCTTGTACGGATTGCCAGGTGCGCCGTCGCCGAGGCGGAGGTGCACGCCGTCGAATGGCTGATCGGCAAAGAGTGCCCGCCTCCGCGCCTCTACGGTTCCTCTCAGGTAGGGGGTGGCCGTAAACAGCGCGCGGATAAGGCAGCCGAGCGAGTCTGCGCGGAACTCTGCGCCTCCGCGCTCGCCACGGGATGCGTTGCGACTGTGCCGAGGGTGGGGCGGTTAGTGGCGCTGATCGGACGAGAGGTGCCAAGATCGCTCTCACTGCGATCCTTCCTAGGTCGCTAGACCAGTGAGTGTTGCCAGTGACCCGCGTGTACTGCCTGCCGCTGCTCCAGAACTCGTCACCGCCCGGCGCTGGACCATTCCACCGATTGACGGGCACATCCCTCAGCGCGGCCGCCTCCTCCGCAGTGACTCGCCACTCGATGCGTGTGCTGCCCAGATCGGTCGGCTCGAAAAAGTCAGAGAGTGGGACGGGCGACAACCAGTCGACCAGCAGCACCTGCGGCGCCAAAGGGGAATGGGTTTCGGTCACGGCTGGGAGACGGCAGGTAGCTTGCGGTGCGGACGCCTGCCGGCGGTAAGCTGCCAGGCGCAGGAGGTAAGCGATGATCCGGAAGCGGTCACCGAATCCAAGGCATCGGGGGTTGGTCCCCGGCATGAATGGACGGCACGTGTACACAAGGTATTCTGCTCCCGGCGCATGGCGGTGCGCAGCATGCCACCGGGCGTACTCGCTCAGCCAGTGGGCGCATGGCGTGGGCTGAAGGTGCAGGAGAGGGCGGCGCTGCCCGACGACAGGGGTAGCCCTGTGATGGCGGTGCATAATGGACACTCCCAGCTGGGCTTCCCTTCCGGCGGCTTGTCAGAGTGGAAGGTGTGCGCCAGCCAGAGAGAGGGACGCGCGAGTTCGTGCACTCAGGCCAATCGTTGTTTTGTCGAGTTTGGCGCGGCGCGAAAAATCACGGTGTAGGGCCCAGGCACACAGTCGAGAACGGACAAACAGAGTACAGAGATCGATCGACACGGTCAGGCAGCGCCGGGTCCCAGAGAAGGCTGCAACCGCCTCTGTCTACTCAGTATGGGCAAGTTCACGGACGGACGGGAATGGATTTCAGTTGTTTCCCCAGGCGCGGAAAGAAAGAAGTAAAAAATGCCGGAAGGGAGCGGGAGCCGGAGCAGCCGCACACGTTGCTTACGGCTTAGCTAGCCGGGAGCTCTTCTACTCTCTTCTTCACTTGGCGGTTTTTCTTTCGTCATCGTGTTAGCACGCTCTCGGTTGGACCTCTCTTGGTACCCCCAGTTGGTCCTGCTGCTGCGGCCGCTGCCACCGCCGCCGCCCCGCCCATGCGCACATACATGCTCGTGGCGCTGAGCCTAGATCTCGCTCGTTCTCGGCTAAATCTCGCTCGTTCTTTTTTTGGAAAACTGTACCCCATGTCCCCCAATGTACCCCACATTCCGCTGACGGCCTTCTATCCCAAGGAAGCCCTCCACTAAGCTCGTCCGCTCGCACTTGCCGCGCCGCATTGCGTTCAGGGGTGAGAGAGGGGCCCATGGCGCGTTCAGGGGTGCGCCTGAGGCGTGTAGACTGCGGGGCGCCGCGATAGCGCGGCGCCGACGATTGTGTCGCTCACTGTCACACCGTCGACACGGTCACAGTGTGTGTGCAGTGCGTCCACTCCGGCGACCGTGACGCCGTCGGTTCTCGCCTATACCGGCTAGTGTGGAGCTCTCAGTGTGGTTGCGTGTTGTACTAGTGATGCTGCACTAGGCGGCCCGTTTCCGCAATCAGGACGCGAATGGAGGCCCAGTCAGCACACAGCAGCTCGGGCAACTCCCAACTGCACATATGCAGAACAGACATCAACTGTGAACGGTGACTCGAAGATGTGACCGCTCTCTGCGTGAATCGTCAGGCAAGCTCGCACTCTCCTCGTCCGCTCGCGCTTGCCGCGCCGCATTGCGCCCGACTATGCAGCCGCGAGCTGCACGCCTAGACCCTCGCGACGCCTATCGCTCACGGAACCCGCCGCCCCCTCACCACCCCCACCACGCGATGCGCCCTCGCTCGCCGCGCGAGCGGCTGACCCCCCTCGGCCTCGCACCGCCTGCCTACTCCCGCTCGCAGGTACAGCCGCTGCCATCGAGGAGGGCGCGAGACGCGTCCGCTGCTGCCCATTCCCCACCCTTGTCCCGCGCGCGACCGCCCTCCCTCTCTTCTGGCAAGAGAGCTCATCTCCCCCGCCTCCTCCGCCGCACCTCCCTCTTCCCCAACACTCGCCGCCCTCGCGCCAAAACCCAAAACACCCCCGCAGGCTTCAAGCATGCTCGCGTTCATCGTGTCGCTCGTGGCGTATACGGATCCGGCGGAAGAGCTGTACGGCATCTGGGAGCGGAACATGGGCAAGAATCGGGAGACCAAGTTGCAAACGCAGTACCATTTCGCCTATGCGCAACATCTGGCGCCCTATCGCACCCGCAATAATGTCACCCTCCTCGAGATCGGTGCAAACACAGGAGACTCGCTGTATGCGTGGTCGGAGTACTTCCGCGAGCCAGGCGCGACCATCTGGGGGATGCGCTACGGCGTCTCCGACTCGAGGATGAAGAAGTGTCGCGCGGGCGCCGCAAACTGCGCCAAGGTGCACATTCACGACGGCGATCAGAGCAGCGCTCGGGATCTTCGGGCCTTGGTCGCTGCCGCGTTTGGCGACGCGTTCAAGGCGCCTGCCACACTCGCGAACCACGAATGGCGGCGTGCTGGGTACGACGTCATCATCGACGATGGCTCTCACGTGCCGGCGCACATCCTCTTCACCTTCACAGAACTCTTCCCTATGCTGCGGCCGGGTGGGGTCTACGTGATCGAGGACAACGCATTTTCATATGCCGATAAGCCAACCACCGCCTACGGCTATCGCGTTGGTCACCGTGGCGGCATCGGCCGGCCAACCACCGACAATGCTGTTGAGCGATTCAAGGCTCTCGCTGACATTGTCAATCGGGAGGAGTGCTTCCAAGATCTGGACATCGTCATCTTTAGCGAGGCAATCGACCGCGCCGTGTTCCAGGTTGCGTTTGTCTCGGGACTCGTGTTCGTGTGGAAGAAGACGGCGGCGCAGCAGGCGGGGCTCGCCGGGATCCCCTCTCTCCGGTGGACGAGTCACGCCAACGGCCCGGCGCTCCAAGAGTACAAGCGCTTCCTCGAGGCTGGGAAGCACGTGGGCGTCGGAGGCGTGCGCGTGTGAGGCACAGGGCGGCGTGGGCGATTGCGATGACGCGTGAGTCCGTAGCTGGTGCGCCGCCGACGCCGCCGCCGGGAATCGGGGGGGTGCTGCCTTGGTGCATGAGGGATGGGGAGCTCCCTGGCGCGCGAGGGGTGGGAGGGGCTCGTGTCTCTCTCACACGGGCGCGCCGGGGTGCGGTGGGAGACTGGGCACCCGATCGGCGGATGGACGACCCGCAACTGGTCTGGCGAGGGGCGCGGTGCTGGGTGCGGCGACGGGAGAGGGCCTCGAGCGCCGCGTGTGCGCGGCGGAGTCGGCATAGACTGACTGACTGAGGCCGACGGGGCTGTTGAAGGGAAGGGTAGGCATGTTGTGCTCGAGATCGTCCAGCCGCACTTGCGCTCTGTGTGGCCACTGGGAGGCGTGAGAGACTAATGAAGGCTCTATATGCATGTATGTATCCGAGTGAAGAACAGACAGATGCATCATTATTTTATTGGATCCAGCCCAGCGGCCTCAGATCGTCGATTAACGCCTGCTCCTCCCTTCCCGCCGGTCCACTAGGCGGCGCTGCCGTGCACTGGCGCGAGCGAGCTGCATTTACATCCCGCACGCGCGATTGGCAGTCGAGTTACAAACAACCCGCAGCTGTGCGTGCGCACCACGAACCGTTGTTCGGGGATCTCTCGGCTCCCGTTAATGGACTCGCGTTGGGACGCGAGGTGGGGGTTTGCTTCCCCCCCCCCCCCCCCCGGAGGGGACACGGCCACTTTTAGCGAGATCGGGGAAATCACTCTCATCGCCCACCGCTCTCGCCTCCCTCCCTCTCCCGCTGCCGCGCCGTATCCTGTCCTAGCCTGCGATACATTGAGACCTCACGCCCCGCGACTGTCTCCCGCGCTCGCAGGCGGGCCTGTCCGCCGTGCCACGCCATGCGTGATCATCGCTGGGGGCAGCGGTGCTCGTGCGACTGCGGATTCGGCCTCACCTCACGCCCTCTGGCCTACAGCTGCACGCTGCCGGGCGCCATTCTCGAGCCCTTTGGCGAATGGGCCCAAATCCGGGCTCTGAGCACGCCTACTGCTGACGATCTATGTAGCTAGTGCGGTGGAGTCTGGCGCAGGTGCGCGAGCCCGTCGCCACAGGGGGGGACGCGCGATTATGTGGGCGCTCCCGAGGGGGGCAGGGCCAGGGGGCGAACCGCGTGTGTTCAAGGGTAACCAGGCGAATTGCGCCCCCAAAATGGTCCTGAGCGGCTCCCACGACCTCCCCAACACCCGAGGTGCACGACACGACCGCTCGTTCGAACATTAGCGCCACAAATATTTTCCATTAATTTCCCCTCTAGCTAGCGGCTACGCTTTCTCATCGCGTATTGTTCCGTACGTCGTACTTCCCGGCCATCATCTCGAGAGCGAATAGCACCGCAGCACCCACCCCTGTAAGTTGCCCGTCCTCGGTAGCGCGCTGCCGCCGTTACCGCAGCTCGTCTAGAAGCCGCGCGGGGCATGGGGCGGTGGCCTAGGGAAGCCCGCCGAAAATCGTCCGCTGCCGCTTCTCGGTCCGCTCGGCGCGGCTGGCCTAGGGACGTACACGCATGTCGCATCGGGCCGGCGGGCGGCGATGCGAACCCCTCTCGCCCTCGCCCTCGCCCTCGCCCCTCCCCTCGCTCTCATGCTCTCGGCTCGGCGGCGCGCCTGCTTGGCGACGGCGGGCAAGTTCTTGTACCGCTTGCGGTCGAAGTTGTAGACGTCGAGCCAGAAGGGCTTCGCGTACGTGATGTAGAGGAGGGGCCGCTCCTCGGTGCCGCTGTTGCCAAGCCCGCGGTGCTTGAGCCGGTAGTCGAAGATGAGCGCGCTGCCCGCCTTGAGGCTCGGCGTCTTGGAGGGCACCTTGGCGTCGAAGTCGAGGTGCGAGCCAGGGACATACTCGGTCGGGCCGTTTGCCTACTCGCGGAGTCTTTGAGGCGGTTCGGAGCAGGCTCGGAGAAGGACGGCGGCGGGCCGGGCCGTAGTAGTGTGCCGCGGTGAGGTTCACGAGCGGCACGAACACGTTGACCGCGTGCACGGGCGCGACGAAGCGCGGGTCGCCCCCCGCGTTCATGTGCGGCCCATCCGAATGCCACCTACCTCCTCATCCTCCCGACTGCGACTGCTGCTACTGCAGCGCACACAGCCCTCCGCGCGCACACTGCCCTCCTCCTCCTCACCTCACCCTCACCTAC